GTGCAGGCTGGCGGCACACAGGTGAAAGGAGCCCTCGTCCTTGCTGGTTCCGATGAGCGATCGCCTGGGGCCACCATGTTGAGGACCTGCAGCGTGGCTTCCTCCTCATGATTAGATCAGTGCCAATGGCACACTTTGCTGTCACCTAGCCCATGGCTTGGTTGAAGACAAGGACGAGGATGCAATGGAACTACTCTGGGGCTTCCTTCTCCACCACCGTGGTAGCGGTCACTGCCAGCTGCACTTGGCTGCAGTTTGAGCACACCCCCACACCCAGGACCTTCCGGGGCCGCTCCCTCTGTTGCATGGTGGCTCCAGGCACCCCAGGGGACCAGAGTCCCGCACTGGCTCTGGCTCTTCACTGGCCTCGCTGATTGCTCTACAAGTGCCCAAGATCAATTTGATGTCGGCTAGAACAGTCATTAAAAGGTCCTTGCTGACACAGGCTCCACGGGGCCCACTGGTTGGTCGTTTTTCACTTCTAGGTAAGAGTCCAGCTCCACTTCTTCTGAAGCCCAAAGGGCTTGATGAGGGACTGAATGCCCAACCACCATGCTGGATTGGGCTGGGGTAGGGAGAGAAACACCACTGTACAAACCCACCCCGGTCTTCAGGAATGGTATGGGGGCCAGGGCCCCACTCAGGCACTAGCTGGCCCTCGCTGCTAACCCATCACACCACAGCTTTGCCTCCTCCATAAAGGGAGTTACTTTTTAACCATGTAGCACTTAAAAAGAAAGCATAGTCTAAGGTTTGTAAACAAAAATATTTATAGTTTTCATTTCAGACTATTTGGGTATGCACAAAGACACAATCTGCCATGCATTCAATACAATATTAACATGATTCATGATGTAATATAATAGTACTAGGAAAAAGTGTCCAAAAATACTAGAATTATTAATATTAATCTAATGTAAAAGTTTTTATGCATCAAGTATGTTTCACTTTTTATTTTTGTTGCACAAGACACAGGTCTTGATTAACAGTGAACCATTTGAAAGTTCTTGCTGAAAATTTCCTGATGATAAATAAAGTTCTATAGACACAATGTAGCCAGAACATATTTCTAGGGTGCAAAGGTGAAGGTAAAAATTATAAGAGGAAGTGGTTACTATATTTCCCATTAAGTGTTTTGTTGGCAAATGATCCAATCCTAAGTGATTTTTCAATCCGTTTCAGAGAAATTTCATCGTTAGTACAACTCAACTAGGATTGATAACCATGAAAACGGTTGAATTCATAGAGATTATATACTGTCATATTTAAACTGAAGATATAGCTGTGGCTTAATTCATGAATTAAGAAGAATCTCACAAACCAGTGAAGAGTGTGTATCCTGGAACGCCATCTTGCAATGTGTGGTTGCTGTCATTGCTGCAATCACTGAACGTGGGCGATTTCTTCAAGCAAAAATTAAGTGGGGTTCAGCAAAATGGAAATGTAGGTGGTTTACTGGAACTTGTTACTCGGTTTAATCCATTTTTTTGCAAGTCACATCTAAAACTATAGTAACAGCGCAGGGCAACCCATTGTACATGCTACAACAATATAAAATGAATAAAAAGCCTAATGAGTTATAAAATTCAATAAACTAGCTTCAGAAAAATGAGTAGAGCTTAATATTGCAGCTTGTCTTTAGAATACACTCCTGATCTTTGTGAAATAGATCAGCAAAGCATTGCATTAAA